GTATCCTGGGTATGCGAATTCTCCGATACCGCGTGCTCTGTTCCAATCTAACGCCGCGCAACGACAATCCTCAACTTCGACTCCCGCGTTCCGACCATCAAACCCGTCGCGGAATACGTCAGCCCGTCCAACAACGCCTAATCGGTCATCTGAGGCACAAGCTCCTGCGGCCGCAGTTGACTACGAGAATGAAGAGGTAGCCGCCGCGAATAATACGCCGAGCTCTCTCTCCTCGCCTCCGCGAACAGTGTTCTCTTGCTGGAACTGTAACCAACCAGGACATAGTTATACCAAGTGTACGTACGCGCGTCAAATCTTTTGTTATCGTTGTGGTACTCCGGGATTGACCACGAAAAATTGCCCGAAGTGTCAGGGAAACGCCTAAGGGGGCAGACTACCTCGGTCCTTACTCCTACCCCCACATCCGAAACTACTGATTCTGTCGCTCCAAATACGAAGTCGTGCATTCCAATATCAATTGCCGAAACCTGCGGTCCCATCTGCAGTACACGCTCGGAAGACCGTTTATATTTAACCATCAGAATTAAGGACCAACCAATTTTGGCTCTCGTCGATTCCGGTTCCTTGCGTACCTATTTCGGTCCGGAAGGCATCTCGCTATTTAAAACTTTTGACTGTTCGATCCAAGATACTCTCGCGAGTATCGTAGTATACGCGGATGGCTCACGAGGCAAAGCGGAAGGTGAAACCGAACTTCGTATCACTAGTCGAGACCAGACTAAAATTGCAAAAGTACGCTTACTTCCAAAACTGAACGTTCCGTGTTTATTGGGGTTAGATTTTATTAAACAGTTTGGTATTGCAATTGATTTCGCGAATTGTCGTTGGTGCTTCCATGATCGTTCCGCTACCGTTCCTGAAGACCCCTCGACTAACATTTCCTATCCATTTGAAAACTTTTCCGAAACTAACCCACCTACTTCCGTCATTACCGCAGAGCTGTGCTCTGGAATTACCTCCCTTTCTCCCGTCGAGTTCACACTTTTGAAACAATTCTTAAAAGATCATCTGCCGCCTTCTCTAGAAAAACCTGGACTTACCGACTTAACCGAGCACGTTATTGATGTACAGGGACATCGCGCGATAAAAAAAAGATATTATCCCGTTTCGCCAAAAGTTCAAGAAACTATTCATACTGAAGTCGACTCAATGGTAGCTAACAGAATTATCGAACCCTCTTCTAGTGACTGGTCTACACCAATCGTTATGATCAAGAAACCGAACAATACTTATCGTTTTTGTTTAGATTTTCGGAAAGTTAATGCCGTCACGAAAAAGGATGCCTATCCTTTACCCTATATGTCCAGTATCTTAGACAAGTTACGTGCCGCGAAATATATTTCTACTATCGATTTAAGTGAAGCATATTTTTAGATACCGTTAGAGGAAAAAAGTAAAGAAATAACCGCGTTTACCGTTCTCGGGAAAGGACTGTTTCAATTTAAACGAATGCCATATGGGTTGACGAATGCGCCCGCCACATTCCAGCGCCTTGTCGATCGACTAATAGGGCCCGAGATGGAGCCCGCATGTCTTCTCATACTTGGACGATGTTATCGTAGTGACGAAAACGTTTGAAGACCATCTCATCTGGTTAAAAAAAAGTCTTAGAAATTATCTCGCGAGCAGGCTTGACTATAAACCCCGAGAAATGTGACTTTTGTTGTTCGCAGGTCAAATATCTCGGCTTTACGGTCAATGAAAACGGTCTGCAAATTGATCCGGAGAAAATCCAGCCTATACTCGAGTACCTCGCACCACAGAACCTTAAGCAATTACGTAAGCTCTTAGGGATGGCGTCTTGGTACCGTAGGTTCCTTCCGGAATTCGCCTCAGTTGCTGCGCCCCTAAAACTTCTATTGAAAAAGGGTAAAGAGTGGGAATGGAGGGAAAATCAAGAAAGGGCCTTAGAACGGATAAAATCCGCCTTGACTTCCGCGCTGACACTTGCTTGTCCTGATTTTTCGCTCCCGTTCACGTTACAGACGGATGTTAGTGACATAGGGTTAGGAGTAGTGTTACGACAACAAAACGATACCGAACATGTAATTGCATACGCGAGTCGTACTCTTACTCCCGCGGAACATAAATATTCAGCTACCGAAAAAGAATGTCTCGCTGTCG